TGCGAATTTCATTTTTATCAAACCCGACCGGGGCCGAGGTCTGATTCACCCATTGGCTTTTTTGGGAGCAGAGGCGCAAGCGTTGGCAGCATATCGTGTATGGCGAATATTTCTCTTGCCGCATGTTGCTCCCCATAGATGGTTTTGATCCCGTCCTTTGTTGAGAATTTTATTATCTGATGGAGAGTGGATGGTACCGCTCTCATGTAGTGTATCCATGGTCGCCCAAACAAGGCGTTATATCTCATATCTCCTTCGATGACATGGAATTTGGTGTCTTGGGTTGTGTCGGCCATGGTAATTGGAAGGATGATTTCCCCTTTCGTTGCCTCGCTTGCCATGTTGAATCCATTAAGGACACAAGTGGCGGGTACGATCCGTTCAGTTAGCCCGAGCTGTTCTACCACTCTCGACCTAATAATATTGGCCGAGCTACCTGGATCCACTAGTACATGTTTTATCTGAAAAGAATTTACAAGGAAAGAGATTACCAGGGCATCGTTGTGGGATTGGGATAGATCCTCGGTGTCTTTTTCACTGAATGTAAGGGCGTCTTCGGGGATATATCCCCGAGTCTGTTTTTCCCTTGTGATGGATATTTTTGTTTTCCTCATCATGGGCTCCTGCGGGGTATCGGCGCCTCCCATGATCATGTGGATGACGTGTTGTGGTTCGTTTGCCTCGTTTTTCTTGGTCGCCCCTTGTCCCAAAAATGATTTTCGGCTCGATCATTGAGAAATTCCCGAAGGTGCCCTTTGTTGAGTAGTTGGGCCACTTCTTCTCGTAATTGGTGGCAATCCTCGGTTCTGTGACCATGTGTATTGTGGAACTCATATACTAAGTTGTAATTCCTCTGCGACGGGTTTGACTGTATTGGTCTAGGCTACTTGGCGTCCCTGATTTTGCTGATAGCGAACACGATGTCTGATACGTCGACGCTGAAGTTGTATTCCGACAAGTGGGGCGCGTTCATCGGTGCCATGTTTCGATCGATCCTGGTTCTGTTTACGAGCCCTCGGGGGTCCTGTCCTCGATCTATCCTCCGATCGTTGCGGGGTAAGTTACGCCTGGGGGCGGTTCTTCTATCTTCGAGGTATGGTTGGTACCTGTCTTTGTTTGGTTTTGTCTCATTTGCCAGGAGTCTGTTGGGGTATACTGAGCCTGAAGGGGACCCCAGCTGGTCATCCTCGGCCCTGATCTTTGACAGGTATCGGTTGTGAGCGTCCGACCAGGTTACGACTGGGTATTAAATTCTGCTTTAGTTGTTTTGAGGCCATCGAGCTTCGTTCGTTCAGGCCTTGGGTGAAGGCCTGCACCGCCCAATCGTCGGAGACTGGCGGTAGCTCCATTCGTTCCATCTGGAAGCGGGATACGAACTTCCGCAACATCTCATTCTCCCTTTGCTTGATTTTGAAAATGTCGGATTTCCTTGTTGCTACCTTGATGGCTCCGGCATGTGCTTTTACGAAGGAGTCTGCTAGCATGGCGAATGAATCTATGGAGTTGGGAGCCAAGTTTTGGTACCACATCATGGCCCCTTTGAAAGTATTTCTCCGAATTTTTTCAACAACACGGACTCAATCTCGTCGTTTTTTATGTCGTTGCCTTTTAACGCACAGGTGTAAGCAGTGACGTGTTCGTTAGGGTCGGAAGTGCCGTTGTACTTAGGGAGTTCCGGCATTCTGAACTTTTTTGGGATGGGCTTTGGGGCCACTTCCTCGAGGAACGACCTTTGAATGAACTTCTTTGAATCTAAGCCTTTGAGGACTGAGGGCGCACCTGGGATCTGATCCACCCTGGAGTTGTAGGTCTCGAACTTTTTATCATTGGCCGCAATCATTTTCTCTCCTAATTCAATCCTTTTGGTGAGGTCCTCGAGCATTTTTACGAGGGCGGGATCGGCCACCGATCCGTTGTTGCTTGACCTTTCGAGTATTCGCTCGACGGGGGAGCTGTCTTTGGTGCCGTTGTGCTTGGGGTCCTCGGGTGGCTTTGCAGCTGAGCGATGGCCAGTTGTTGTGCCTGCAACATCTCGAAGATAACGTGAAGACTAACATCTCGTTCTTCTTGGGACGGGGTTTTTTGTGCTTCCTGTTGGTCGTCGTGTCTTACGTTTATGTTAGTGTGGGAGGTTTCGTCGACTTGTTGCGCGTCCTGTGAATCTGCATCTGCTAGGATCGGTCTGGGGGTGGTATCAGGATTCAGTGGAGGTTCTCCAGCGGTCGGGACAGCCACGCCATTTTTCCCGTGATTTTCGAGGTTGTTGTTTTCGGCTCTGTTTATCGAGCCGGACATTTTAGCCTGAAATTAGAAGGACAAGAAAAGTGTGAAGGGTAACGTGCGTTTATCTGACGAAACCAGCAAGAAAATAATCACTATTATTTTTAGCACCACGGTGGGCGCCAAACTGTTTACCTTGAAAATGGTAACAACAATTAAATTTGTAAATGGGATTCTAAAAATACGTGATCTATTCTCGAGCTAGTTTTGAGGGCAGTTTGTATTAAGACTACGCAGTATAACGATAAAATACAAGTTAAATCGAGGCAGTAAGCAAACCATGGGGACTTGTTGCCCGAGCGTGGAGCAGGTCGATGGAGGCCTCGGGGCCGAGGCTCGAGCCGGGATCGAGCTATCGGGGACAGTCGAGAAGGGATAACAAGCAGAACTTCGATTAAGTAAGGCTTTTCACGGTCATTATTGAGTTATATAACGAGGAGCCAGTTAAGAGACAATGGATATAAGGGTGGCTTCGAGCCAATTCCGAATGATAGAAAGGACGATTGAATATAAACAACTTCGAACTAAGGAGAATGAAAAAATTAGAAAGAGAGAGAGGATATTATTGTTTTTCGTGGTCAAGTGGAGCTCTCCCTTGCAAGGTGCTAGTGACCCCTTTTTATAGAAAAGGGGGACGCCCAAACTTAGTGTAGAATCTTTTGTAATGACAAAAGAGATGGGATGTGATAGTCCGTTAGCTTCACGTCGGGTGAGGGATGGCATCGAACTGCTCGAGTAGATCTGATCGACTCCGGGCGCACTCTTCGAGGGATCCTCGCGTTCGTCGGGCTTTTAGTAGATGTTCATTCTTGGCAAGGCACCGGCGGGTTTTGAGGGGGGGGCGACCAACCCGAGATCCCATACTTCCGGGGCCATTCTCCGGGATATCACTTCGGGGGGGG